GATGAGACACGGACACCTACTTTAGCCCCGTCTTAACCCTGCTGTTCACATAAGCCTACATAAACCCTACCCTGGGTGGCGGCGTGCGCCACATGGTGGCGCACGCGAAAAATACACTGGCCGTCCGTTATGGGTCAAAAAATGAACAGAGCCTTTCAAAGCAAAAGCGGAATCAAAGCGGCGGGATACGGTGGATGCTGTTAAACGCGTTTTGGAACATAGAATTTTGAATGGGTAAGGACTCTTCCAAAGGGTTTTTGATACGACATTTCGTTCCGCCTACATTATCCCAGCTTTCGCAGAGAATAGAGCAGTCCTGAGAGTACGTGAACTGTTTCCTTTGCTTTTACACCTACCGCCTCCCCCCCCCCCCCCCCCCACAAAAAAGGAATCACTATACATAGATGGCACGAATTATCCACCACACGCCTCCCCCACCTTCACTGAAATAGACCTTGCGGTGGTTCAACACAAGAGAATGAAAGGAGGAGTATGCGGTTAACGCCCTCTGCAAAAGGTTAGCAAACAGCATACTTACTGTAAGACACAAAACTCCCACATCCCCTCCTCCAAAATCTGAGGAAGGAACAAAGCTAAGATGACTCGTACAATAATGACTCTCATCAGAAAGGAAATAAGTACATGCTTTTGAAAATTGCAGGATTGGGAATGCAGGTATTGGGTCAAGATCCAACTGCTATAAACAAATGTTTCAAAAATTTAGTGATCTCTATTCCAGATGCAAAGGAAGGATCTTGCGAAGAACAACAGATCGAAAATAACCACCTCCTTGCAACATAGAGCTCGTGTAGTGAGATACGGTTGCAGTTGATGAGCTCAGAAATAGTATCCTTGCATCGCGTGCCAGCAATGGTTTTAACAGATTCAAAAGTAAGGCTTGCGAAACCACGTTGACGCACATATGACGTTCGACGTCGCCAATAAACTGAATAGAACTCATAACAATGAATCCAAACTGTGACTTAAGTACCAATATTCTTATAACTACACTATTTATTCTCTAAAACCCAATGCAGGTCAAAATTTTTCAGTCAGTCGCATCGCTTGAGCGATCCGTCGCTCCTGCAATTGGTGCAAAATCGCTCCAATCGCAAAGTCTGACATCGGCCATTCAGGCTAAACCTTCTATCAATTTGAAGTCGGTAAATTAGTACCAGACTTGTCTGGAAAGGTAAAAAGTACTGCACCCGAAGTCCTCCTACAGGGTAATTGCGTACAAAATGTTTCTACCATTCTCGTTAAAGTATTCGCTGTGTATTTCCACGAAAAGGATGGTGAAAAGAACATTGTGACTACTAAGATGTCACCGAAGACGATTTAGTTTGTAACGCGCAACGGAAAAGGAGCGCCAAGTCCAGCAGGATGGGTTGGGTCAAGTCTTGGAATTGCATAAATTATGCCTGATTCCACGCCACGAGAAATTTCGACCGATAACATCGAGCGAAAGTTGCTCTTTTTAAGAAGGGATCAAGTCATAAAAGAAGAATAAATGCAAAACATCATTGAAATTGAAAATCTTGAAAATCTGTTGCAAAATATGCTACTCCCAATTGAAGCTAAGGTTACAAATACAAGAGAAATCATGAACATACTTCTACATCAGCCAGCAAAGTGCCGGCACAAAGCACCATCACACTGATCTCGCCACATCTGTTAATGAATCCTCTTGCAAACTTAGCTACCTAAAAAAAATAAGGTTACCAAATAAAAAAAAATTCACCATTGAGTTAGAAGCTCTTCTTTCTACCTCATGAGGGTCTGCGAAGTCGACCTCATAAAGTGTCAGTGGCATTCGGGATCCGTTCAGAGATTCGAACAATACATTCGCTTTGGCACGATTCCCAACCAATGCGTGCACAGTGAAGCCATGTCGGAGGAATTTTCTAACCACCTGAAAAATTGATCTATTCAAAGACTGAATCAATGAGAATAAACGTGCTGCTTTGAAAAAGTCACTCCATAGTAAATTTCACCAGACAGAACGTGCTCTTGCTAGATCGCAAACCCGTAGGATCGCAAGCGCCACGAAGCATGAGGCAGGCGACGCGATCCTGGTCGAGTGCTATAATTCGCGATAATCAAAAGGCAAGAAGCACGCGGGTTGCGAAGTCGGGGCACTTGCCTTACCTCGCTTCATTACTCTTGCCGTTTTCTCTCTTTCGTTCAAACTATTCGAGCCTTATCTGAGATTGGAGTTTGGGTTTCGAAATAGGAAGGTAGAGTATATCCTCTACTTCGGCGAAAATCGACAAGGTCGTTAAGCTTGCAGGCATCACCACAGTTGAACGACTGCCGAATCTATAAAGACTGAATCAATGAGAATAAACGTGCTGCTTTGAAAAAGTCACTCCATAGTAAATTTCACCAGACAGAACGTGCTCTTGCTAGATCGAATTTTTTCTCGTCCACTGTCACTTGTGCATACGATCTACACTCAAAAATTTCCCGAGTATCCGAAGTAGAGGGTACGGTGGTATCTTAGTTGGGGGGGGACGCGGCGCTCTGTTCGTCTCCTCCTGCAAGGCTTAGTCCTCGATGGCGCGTATTTCGAAACTGCCACGTGATGGCGAAATAGTAACTGCCCTGGACTAAGCCTTTGGAGGAGCAGACGAACAGAGCGCCGCCGCCGCCCCCCCCCCCCCCCCCAACTAAGATAGCACCGAGGGTACGCGGTGTCGGAACTATTAATACATGACCTAAAGCGGCATCCAATGCAAATGGCTATGTGTGGGTACGCACTGAACCGAAAGGGAACTGCAACGTAGCTACAAAGTATGATCGCGACGTAATACTATTTCCTTACCCAAATGAAGCATAAAGTTCCTAGCTCCTTCAATGAGAATTATTCTCTACAAAGCGCCGCAAGCTTTTCAAAAACGATAATCGAGGTGGGTACAAATCAGCAGCAACAGACGAAATTCACCTCTCGTCCAATCGTGCCATCGGCTCCAGTGATGAAAACACGCTTGTTGCGAGCGGATCTTATAGCACGAGACTTCCGGATCTCATTTTCGAGACGTTTTTTGATTCCTTGATTCGCTGCCTTGAAGCAAGCAATTCACTATGACCCAAAGGCCGATGTCAGACTTTGCGAATCGCGCGATTCGCTAGCGTCTGCGGTCGCGTCGCGGCCAGTGAATCACTCAATTGGCTGGTACCGCAACGCGACCGCGGACGCTAGCGAATCGCGCGATTCGCAAAGTCTGACATCGGCCAAAACAAGAAAGGTGCAGTCCTTAAAGCACCTCGAACAGCAACTCTTTCAAAGCACAATAAGCAGCCAACATATAGACACGGAACATAACAAGCAGCTCAATCCATACGCCTGGTAGAAAGGCCATTCCACAATTTAAGATGTAGAGCATTTTTTTCGTCCGACTGAAAAGTCCTTTCAAAACCTGGAAACGCCGTATTGTATCATTGACGTGTTACGCAGCAACCAAGCAGTAAACTATTATGTCTGCAAAGGGTGCCACATCCGGTAGCCGCGCTGGCGCTAAGCAGTGGTCGTCAGATGATTTCTGTCAATACGTACCCCCAGCACTGTCCGCTGCGTCCCCTGCTCGTGGAGAACGACATGCAGAAGCGGCAGGAACGTCCGAGATAGACACGTTACTTCGGAAGGAAGAGAGAGAAAGCATGAGACCGGAGACGGGAGCGCACCCTTGGCCTCTGCCAGCTGTTCACCGCGCGTGCTGGGAATGCTCAAGCCGCAAAGGCTGAGCTGACCGACAAACCTCTCTGCAGTATTCTCCTTGACAGTCGTGGCTCGACCGTTGCCGATCGTTGTGCAGCCTTGCGCAAAACTGCCTCATACGCTACTCCCTCAAAAGTCTTTAGCTGTTGGTACTAGACTAGGTTGTACTGCTCAGGGACGTTTCTCGATTTTCTGAGCCTATCAATCTTCATTTGGTGCCTTCAGCGCCTTGATATACCTTTGAACTCCACGTTACTCTTTTGCATGGAATGATTCTTTATTACTGTTATCGAAAGGATAAAAAAAAGGATAAAGCATTTGCCGTTGATCAATCCCTTTTTGGGATGCGGCACGCATTCTACTTCCATTTGTACATTCGCAGTGGCATTTGAATGCGATGTGGCCTATACAATGACTTGCGGGGGCCAGCCGATGTTCAAGTCAGTGTTTTTATCCTCCCAGACAAGTCTGGTACCAATTAACCGACCCCGGAGGGATGGAAGGCTTGGTTGGCCCGGGCGACTCACGACCCAGGATTTGATCCCGGACCGCTCGCGTGGTGAGCGCGCCACTTGTCACTGCACCACTTCCGCCCCCGATCATGGAAACGTATAACTTATTATTATGTATAGTATCTAGCAAACATGACTGAGTATATGAATATTTTTGGTGCATAATGTACAACAACAAATTGGGCGGAAGTGGTGCAGTGACAAGTGGCGCGCTCACCACGCGAGCGGTCCGGGGATCAAATCCTGGGTCGTGAGTCGCCCGGGCCAACCAAGCCTTCCATCCCTCCGGGGTCGGTTAATTGGTACCAGACTTGTCTGGGAGGATAAAAACACTGACTTGTACATCGGCTGGCCCCCGCAAGTCATTGTATAGGCCACATCGCATTCAAACGCCACTACGAATGTACAAATGGAAGTAGAATGCGTGCCGCATCCCAAAAAGGGATTGATCAACGGCAAATGCTTTATCCTTTATCCTTTTAATCGTAACATTTCATATTACGCTATACGTAGGAGTATGAAAACAAGTATTAATTGTGTAAGTCTATGACCATGTCCATTATTTTGATGTAAGAGAGTCAGAGGTATCATTATTCCGAGGGGCGAAGTCAGAGACTGGGATGTTACGTATTTATCCCACCCTGCGCCGGTGCAATTGCGTACCGCAAGCGATTACAGTACTCCCCACGCCTAGTTCCAGTGGCGTTGACAAATTGCACCAGGCGGGCTCGGTGATGAAAGGAAATGGGAAGGCTAATCTGTTCATGACTAGCACAGATCCGAAATATTGTACTGGGTTGAGTCATACATTTCTCCCTCCGGATAGGTGACGGGCACCGAGAAATGCTCCATATCGTTGGAACACCATGTGGGTGCCTGGAAACCATTCTAATATCTCACGTCATTTACTTCCTGAC